TGTAATGGATGTGAGAATCATCACAGCCTTTCTCCCCACCCACTGCCTCTTGCAACATCATGCTTATTGAGGCCACAGTAAAAATTAAGGGCTTGTTTAGGGTTAGAGCCAGACCACTGGTCATTTAGCTCAGTATTTCCAACACTGACTGGCAGCAGCTCTCCAGCAATATCAGGCAGGGGGAGGTTTTTGGGATCAAATCAAGGAGCTTTTGTATGGAAGGCAGATCCTTAACCACAGAGTTAAGAGCTCTTCACTTGGTGTAAGGAGAGGTGCAAGAAGCAAGGCTGGAAAGCCATGATTTTATTTTACAATTGCATTTCAAAGAATCGTGGATCTGTAGAGTTGGAAGGGTCAACAGCTCCAGCCTCTGCAATGCAGGAATCACAGCTAAAGAATCCCTGACAGATGGCCATCCAGCCTCTGTTTAAAAACATCCAATGAAGAAGAGTCCACCACCTTCTGAGGTAGTCTGTTGCACTACCAAACAGCTCTTGCCACCAGGAAGTTCTTCCTCATGTTTAGTCATAATCTCCTTCCTGTCATTTGAATCCATTGGTTCAGGCCCTACCCTCTGAGCAGCAGCAAACAAGCTTGCTCTATCTTCCACATGACAGCCCTTCAGATATTTGAAGATGGCTATCCTATCATTGGGACGCGGGTGGCGCTGTGGGTTAAACCACAGAGCCTAGGACTTGCCGATCAGAAGGTTGGCGGTTCGAATCCCTGTGACGGGGTGAGCTCCCGTTGCTCTGTCCCTGCTCCTGCCAACCTAGCAGTTCGAAAGCATGTCAAAGTGCAAGTAGATAAATAGGTACCGCTCTGGCGGGAAGGTAAACAGCATTTCCGTGCGCTGCTCTGGTTCACCAGAAGCGGCTTAGTCATGCCGGCCACATGACCCGGAAACTGTACGCCGGCTCCCTCGGCCAATAAAGTGAGATGAGTGCTGCAATCCCAGAGTCAGTCACGACTTGACCTAATGGTCAGGGGTCCCTTTACCTTTACCTTCTCCTATCATCACTCAGTCCCCTCTTCAGCCTAAACATACTTGGCACCCTCAACCGTTCCTCATAAGGCTTGGTTTCCAGGCCCTTGATCATCTTGGTCGCCCTCCTCTGCACACCTTCCAGCTTGTCAATGCTATTCTTAAATTGCGGTGCCTGGAACTGGACACAGTACTCCAAGTGGGGTCTGTCCAAGGCAGAATTACGTCCTTTGATCTGGACACTGTATTTCTGTTGATGCAGCTACATCATATTGTTGAATCCTCACAGTTGGTGGGTAGAGGGACAGAGAGAGCGGACAGGTATGCTCCCTGCATAACTTTAGTATAGTTTTTGAGCTATGGGCTCTAGCGGAGGTAGGCGAACTTTTCAGTTTTGCATTCTCCCAGTTTCTCATTATTCCGGTCTTAAGTTTTCCCCATTTCTACATCAGTTTGGAATTAAAGAAAGAAAAGTCCTCATGAAAACCCAGCAGCAAGCATCTCACTCTTTCTATCTGTATATCTCCCCTTACCTCCTGAGTGTTCAAGGATGCTCTTGAAAACAAACAAACCACTTTCTATCTCTTGGTAACACTTTTTCTGCTGTGCGGTTTTATGGAGAATTGCAGGAATGGGGAAAATGGGTCAAGAAGAGAAACAGATTGTCCTGCCCAGCCATTTCGCTCAGGGGAGAAGCAGCATTGAGAGCAGGAGAGCGAGAGAGCATTGGATTAAGCACAAACCATTGGAGAAAAGAGGAAGGTCCCTCTCTTTCAAAAAACAACAACCAACCAACCTATGAGTAAAAAACCCCAATCATTTATTTTAGCAGAGAAATGCCTATTGAAAGCATCAAAGAGAAATGGAAGCTGCTGCATAGGAAGTTGCTTTATAGTGAATCAGACCACTGGTCCATTGAGCTCGGTATTGTCTATGTACAAAGATTGGCACTGGCTCCCGAAGATGCTGGCAGGTGTCTTCCCCAGAAGGTCTCCAGCCCTACCTGGAGACCTTCTGCATGCAAAGCATGAGACGCAACCTTTATTTGAGGACCTAAGAGTCATGTGGAGGGACGCAGGTGGCTCTGTGGGTTAAACCACAGAGCCTGGGACTTGCCGATCAAAAGGTCAGTGGTTCGAATCCCCGCGACGGGGTGAACTCCTGTTGCTCGGTCCCTGCTTCTGCCAACCTAGCAGTTCGAAAGCATGTCAAAGTGCAAGTAGATAAATAGGTGCCACTCTGGCGGGAAGGTAAACGGCATTTCCGTGTGCTGCTCTGGTTTGCCAGAAGCGGCTTAGTCATGCTGGCCACATGACCCGGAAGCTGTATGCTGGCTCCCTTGGCCAATAAAGCGAGATGAGCGTCACAACCCCAGAGTCGGTCACGACTGGACCAAATGGTCAGGGGTCCCTTTACCTTTAAGATTTATGTGGAGCAGGGGCAGGCTGGAACTACCACATCTTTGTGCACCCAGAACAGGATTGTTTCCCACAATCTCTGATCCTTATGGACCACATAAGGAACTTGCCTTATCCTGAGTCAGACCACTGGTCTACCTAGCTCAGTACTGACCAACAGAGAGGGCTTCTCCAGGGTCTCATAGGGGGATCTTTCCTACCTTGAGAAGCTGGAGATGGAGCCTGGGACCTTTTACATGCAAATGCATCTTGAAAAAGGGCTGCTGCTCAGTGCTTTGCATGCAGAAGGTCCCAAATTCAGTTCCCAATGTCTCCAGGCAGCGCTGGGAGCGACCACTGCCTGAACCCCTGGAGAGCCAATGCCAGTCTGTGTAGACAACACAACATCTCCTGTCACCTGCCAAGGAAAGCTCCCCATTGTTAGCCAGCTCTGGACATATTGCTAAAGTTATCAGCAAGCCTCCTGTTACAGCATTTCACCAGCTTCCAGATCTATGCAAACTATCAATGAGAGCTGTAATTAAGCCATCTCTTAGCCATCCAGGATCTCATCCTTGTAACTGCAAATGTTGTGTCACCTGTGTGTATCACATAGAGGCGGTAACTTCCAAAACCAACTGGCCAGGTGGAACATACTACATCAAACAGAACTTCACCTGCAGATCCTGCAGTGTAATCTATATCACTGAGCGCAAAGCCCACCTCTCCAGAGTGCATAGGTAAAACTGCAACAGACCTACGCACATGCTTCAGAGACCACAAATGTGCAATTCCGACCAAAAAAACCTGGAGTTGCTAAACACTTCAGTTCTGAGAACCACAGTCTGACGGACTTATTGATTATTGTTACGAAGATGCCAACAGGTCCAACAATGTTAGCAAAGAGAGAGAATTTCTGGATATACACACTGGGCTCATTTACAGTGCATGGCCTCAACCAGCCTAACTTAGCTTCAGCCCTTCTCAACATTTTATCCCTAAAGCTCTACAGCTTCCACCTTGGAAACAACATCAGTTCAGTTTTATCAAAGCAACTGACGAAGGCAGGCACCAAAATGTTTTGCCCACATAATCTATTTTTTAAAAACCCTCTGTTTTAGTGATCAACTGAGTCCTAAATGAGAACCCAGAGGAAGCTTCCATGACGAACTTTCATAACTATCTGTTATTATTTATTCATTTATTTTCTGCAGGCTCATTTAAATATGTCTATGCAGTGTACAAGACCTCATTTAAAACCAAAGCAATGTAACAAGTAAAATCAAAGCAAAACACATCAAAAGAAACACAAGCACAGAATGGGTCATCGGACCAAGGAGGTTATTAAAAAAAACAGTAAATTGTTTTCAGAAGCAGGCTTGATGAAATAACCAAGCCCTTAAGTTGGTGCCTAAAACACATTACAGATTACACTAACTCGATTTCATGAGGCAGGGAGTTCCATAGCCCTGGCGCCACCACACTATATGCACAATCTCTAGCTGAGGACAGTTTGACACTGCTAGGCAGGAGGGAACGTATACAGTGGTACCTCCAGTTGCGGACGGGATCCATTCTGGAGCTCTGGTCAGATCCTGAGGTTTCCACATCTGGAGGTGCCTGTTCTGCGCATGCGCACGGTGCGTAGCGAGCTTCTGCACATGTGCGAGCTGCGAAACCCAGAAAAACACTTCCAGGTTTGCTGCTTTTGCAACCCAAAGTTAACGTTACCCAAGAGTAACGTAAGCCAAGGTTCTGTTATAAAAGGATCTCTTAAGAACCCTGGTCCCAGACTGTTCAGGGGTTTATAAGACTAGTAAGACTGTGAGGATAATTCAGTAGTGTGCAGGCAGAAAATGCAGCTCCCTCAACACAGGTGTGGTATGTTGTCGGTAGCCAATGCCTCCCCCTCTTCAATACCTTTGCAATCGTTGTTATAAATCAAAGAGTCTTCAAGAAGGACCTCACTATTGCCTCCTTCAGAGCATCAGGAACCTCCTCCTCATGCAGTGATGCATTAATCACACTGTGGACCCACCTAGTCAGGCCACCTTTGCTAGCTTTTATGATCCAAGATGGACAATGATCAATGGGGCAGGTAGCCTGGTTGAATTGCTGCAAGAACCTTTTATCATGCACATTTTAGATTTCAGGCAGCATCATTCTTCTAGAAGCCAGGAAGATCACAAAGACTAAGGGGGAGTGTTTTGGTTCCAAGCTCTGCCTTGTTTTTATTCTGAAGGAAAAAATATTTTTACGAGCAGATGCTTATGAGACAAAAAAGAAAAGAAGACGAAAACCCACCTAATATTAGATCAGTGAATGTTTGTTTGTCGATTCAGTTTAAACTGCTTGGTTTCATTCCAGCAATAATTGCTTTCTAATTTGTTCACTTAAGGAGACAACAGAAGTCTTCTCTGCTGGGGTGTCATTCCTAAAATGCAGATGTGGAGATGTGAACTTGCCTCTGACTAGGACAATTGGCACATTGGTTCCCAGTACCTACAGTGGGAGCTGTGGGCAGAGATGCATAGAATCATGGAAACACAGAATTGTAGAGTTGGAAGGAATCCTGGGGATCATCTAGTCCAGCCCTCTGCAATGCAGGAATATGCAGTTGACCCATACGGGGATTGGACCTGCAACCTTGGCATTATCAACAGCACACTCTAACCAACTGAGCTATCCAGGCTTCCAGAGTTCTTCCAAACCCCCACTCCAGGGGCTCAGGGTGAAATTGGCCTTTATCCTGATGCAATGGGGCTCTTCTTAAGTTCTTAGGGGGTTAAGCATTTGCTCTGCTTGATGACACCTCTGTGTGTTAATTGTGTGATTTAAAAAGAAGCCCCTCAAGTCCCTGTGTTATGGACAGAGGTATGGCAAGTGTAACTCTGGACAGGCTGTCAGGGTCATCAGCCACAGGCCTTCCTGGAGATAGGCAGCACTGGGTGTTGAAATTTTGCACCCCCGTAACAATTTTGCAGGGACGCGGGTGGTGCTATGGGTTAAACCACAGAGCCTAGGACTTGCCGATCAGAAGGTCGGCGGTTCGAATCCCCATGACGGGGTGAACTCCCATTGTTCTGTCCCTGCTCCTGCCAACCTAGCAGTTCGAAAGCACATCAAAGTGCAAGTAGATCAATAGGTACCACTCCGGCGGGAAGGTAAACTGTGTTTCCGTGTGCTGCTCTGGTTCACCAGAAGCGGCTTAGTCATGCTGGCCACATGACCTGGAAGCTGTACCCCGGCTCCCTCGGCCAATAAAGCGAGATGAGCACCGCAACCACAGAGTCATCCACGACTGGACCTAATGGTCAGGGGTCCCTTTACCTTTACCTTTAACAAATTTGCACCTAGGGCAACCACCCCCATGCTATGTCAACGATTGGAGGCTTTTAAACAGAGATCAGATGTCCATTTGTCAGAGGTTGTTTAGATGTGATTCTTGGATTTCAGGGGGTTGGACTAGATGGCCCTTGGAATCTCTTGCACCCCTACATTTACATGATTCTGTGACCAATGGTCTAACTCAGTTCAAAGCAGCCTCCTATTCCCCTAGGGCTTACATTCCCCGAGTGGCAGATTCTGACAACAACTCACTGGGACAAAGGAAGCATCTCTCTGCTCGGAAAGTGTTAATCAACACAACAAAATAAATATAGAAGAAGCCGAAATGTTTTTGCTGAGCCCCCACTCCCTCTGCTCCTCCAGTGCTGTGCATCGCAGAGACGCATGCAACATCAAGAGCGAGTGAGAGAAGGGGAGCTGACAGCGACTCCTCAGTGGCTGAGCTAATAAATGGGATGAAATTTAAACTACCTTCTCATACAGTGCTGACTCCCGAGCTCCAGCAAGGGAAAGTGAGCAAGCGAGCGAGGAAAAAAAGAGAGATAATGCCTGGAGTATTTATATTCTAATCTAGGCAATTGAACAACAACAACAACAAAAAAGTCTTATCGCTCTAAGAAGACAATGGATTTAGGAACCCTACCGCAGAAACACAGTAGGTGGATTTAATCTCTCTCATGGTAGATTTCTGCAATTTCTTTTAAAGTGAGAAGGCTGCGAGTAAACTAGGGCAGACTTATTCTCCCTTGCTTTTGCCAAGGTTGATAGCTGTGGTTATTTATATATATGTATCTTGGGTAAAAAGTATGTGTGCATTGGTTTCTCTGCTCTGTTCAGTGACTCATGTTATCAAGATGTGAACCTCTTTGCCTGAAAAATATGAAGCTTTCCCTCTTGATCAGAGATGAATAGTTCCTTTCCGAAGCAGGTTCCTCAGAACAAGACTTGTGGTTTGGGGAGAGGTGTTTTGTTTTGTTTTTGCTTTGTTTTGCTGATTGCTTTACGGAACATGTATCTCTGGTAAATCACATCCCATTCAGAGCCAGAAAATAATGAAAGCAGAGTTCAAATACTGGGGCTTTGGAGTATGTGGGGAAGTAGAACTCATTCTCAGATTTGGGGCAGTGGTGGAGTTGTTCCTAGGTGCTGTCAAGGTAGCATCTCTCAAGCATGTTGTGCAAACTTTCCCCACAGGAGATGGCAATGCTTGTGTTCCGAACAAGTATTGTGCCAAGGGATAATGTTGAAAGGATGCGTGCTTGCTTTTATAACAACTTCTGTGTGGTTTCTGCTGCTGGGGATATATGATTTTGCGTTTGGGAGAGTCACTCAGATGAGATGACGTTATCTCTTGAGGTTTTCTGGTACAGATGATGGTGATGTTTTGTGACCACCGAGTTGTGCTTTTCCTACAGTAAATTACTGTACACAGCCCACTTATGCAATAATGGATGCCTCAAATGTCTGACAGGCTTTATCTATTCATTTATTTATTTTTCTGGGCATGCATGTGGATGAGAGTGTGCGTGCGAGAGGAGAAGTGTGTGTTCTGCGACATGCACATGCCAGGTGGAGGTGGCACCATCTTCACGCCTGCCAATTTTGTCTAGGATAAATCTTTCATAGGCAGCTTGTAAAAAGCACCAGGCAGCATGATACAGTGTCTTAAGCCATCTTGGGTAGTCATAATTAGCAGCCAGAATGAATGACAGGTAAATTGCAGCTGCCACACAGACGGAACATATCTGGAGTGGGAGGAGAAGAGGTGCTGATGGCAGGCAGGCTTAGGGTGGCTTGTAAGAAAACGCAAACTTATAGACCCCCTAAGGGCACATCTACAGCTAGGCTTCGAAGGAGTGCAGAAGTGTCTTTGCGCTTCTGCAGTCTGCATGTGGAGAGACTTGTACAATAACAACCCTAGTACTCTTTCTGAAAAGAAGTATGGGTTGAATCAAACTAAGCCCTACTCTGAGTAGACCCATTGAACTTAATGAACCTAAATTAGTCATGCCCCTGAACATCAGAGGGTGTACTCTGCATAGGGCTAATGCTGGATACAACCCTATAATTCTGTCCACACTTGTCACTGGAGTTTCACTCATAATAAAATTCAAATAAGTTCAGGTCTCCCTCTGGATTTGTTTGGGTTTTTTCGGGAGGCGACATTTAAGGGATTTTGACAAAAGTCACAAGGGTTTTTGATAAGATGAATCCTTCTTTGGATGTGGGAGATGGTTGAATTGTATCACATTTGTACTTGTTGGCAGCCGTCTTTCTCGGGAGACAACTGGTGAAGTCTTTGTGGGTGAAGTCAAACCATTGGAGAGTTACAGCACCTGCAGAGGCTTTAGAGACCAATACGGGAGAGACATGTTTTGTTGCAGCTGGGGCAGTTGAAGGCGTTGTGCTGCTGCAGGTGCACCATAGCGTTTGTTCTTTCTGCACTCTCCCCAGCCATCATTCCTCCCTCTGGTCACTGCTGTGGATGCACAACCTGTATTGCTTCACACCCCTGCTTCAATCCTCTCTCGCTTTAGCTAGCTCAGGGTTACTTGTCACCAAGCAAGTAAACTTCTCCCTCTGTTATACTACTTTAGACTCGTGTTAAGTGAATGCTCCTTTGTTTTTGTTTTAAAAATGGTATTTCATGTGCATGAAACACCAGCAGGTCAGGGAAAAAAGATAAGTTAGAATTCTACTGCCTGGACACTCTAGAACAGAAGAATGAAGGAAGCTGTTTTATTCTGAATCAGACTGCCGGTTCATCTAGCTTAGTATGGTCCACACTGAATGGCTCTTAGCTCTTCCAGGCCTTTCTCACCCTGAGACACTACAGGTGGAACAGGCTGCCTTGCTATGGGTTTTCAAGTGAAGGCTGGAGCAACGACGTTCCCAAATTGTCAGGGGATTGGGCTAGATAACCCCTGAAGTTCCTCACAACTCTGTGATCCCTCTCTTCTCTTGTTTTAAAGCGATGTGATTTTATCTAGTTGTATGGGTGTGTGTTTTTGTTTGGTAATTGTTTTAATTTTAATTTTCTGACGTACAAAAAGCAATAATAGCCATGATATAGAAGAGAGAGAAGAGATCAGTGCTAGAAAGGAAAAGAAAGGAAAGAGGTGGGGGAGCAGTAGTATTCCAAAAACAGCATTCAAATACCTGACTATTGCCCTTCATGGTCATTTTATCCAGAAATGTTCACCCCCCCCATCAAAGGAATCCATGGGGACAGGCAACTCTTCCAGTCATATTCCTTTAACACATTCAGTAAACGGATCCCAACCTTTAGAAGTTTCCCTTCATTTTGGGGATCTAGTGGTGTGTTTTATTCGTAGCCTTTTATTCTAACAACAGTTTGATATATGTTGTAAGCTGCTTAGAGTGCCCTTGTTTTGGGGGTAAAAATAAGCTCAAGATATTTTAGGAACTTGGGGAGCTGCCTTATACCGAGTCAAGCTAATAGTCCCATCTATTGCCAGCGGTGACTGACAGTGGCTCTCCAGGGTTACAAACAGGGACTCTTTCCCACCCCTACCTGGAGATGCTGGGGATTGAACCTGGGACCTTCTGCATCCAAAACAGATTCTCTCCTGCTGAGCCACGGTCCTTTCCCACAGCTGAGCCTTGGCACTGAAATGGGTTTCAGGACCCACATCCAGTCCAAACTGAAACCAGGTTCCCAGGCTGGTGTTAGCCACAGCTCTGCAGCCCCCCTTGCCCCAACACTAGTTAAGTGTTCAGAGGCTCTCCTTGTATCTCCTGTAAGGGACCTGACATTCCCACATAGACAGAACAAATGGGCTAGCGAGGGGATTCATCAAAATTAGGAAGGAGACAGAGCCGCAAGCGTTAGCCTGCAAGCGCCACTTTGCCTCTTGCCTCCTCCTCCTCCTCCCCAGCACCCTCCCCTGCTGAGATGCAGTCTATTTTCTGGTGCTTAAGTTTCCAATGAGGCAAAGTTTTCTTGTAGGTTCATAGATCGGCTTGGCAGAGAAATGACTCCAAATGTCTTTATCTGCACCGTCCTCGCCTGGCAGTAAATGCCAACGGCAAAAGAGCGTTGGAAGCAAGGAAAATAAACAAGCGGGACTCTTCAACAATAAAGCAGGAATAAAATATCTCTTGATGGTTGAGAGCAGGGCGCCATCCACCTGGAAGCCCTCAGGTTTAACTAACACTTGAAAATTGCATGCTACTGTGGATATTTCAGACTGCTTTCACTCGACTTTAAATGATTTTGTGGACACGTCCAGGGCTGGCAGAATTCTCTGGACAGGAGTAAGTCAGGCGCTACAGGCGGCAAATGATGCCTAGCAGTGGCCACCCACAGCCCTTCTTCCCGAGTCCCCAGCCCAGTGGTAGCAAATGCCCACTGAGAGCAGTGGGGCAGAAGGCAGGGAGCCCAACAGTTGGTGGCAACAGAGCCAATAATCAGGTAATTCTGGTTTTGTCCCCATCCTTCTGCCTGCACAGTTCTATAATGGAAACACAGAGACCAAGAAGGAGAAAGCTGACAGCCAGGGCCCACCCCCTAGACTGAAAGAAGTGGGAGAGGTGGGAGCTAGCTGGGGGCAAACTGAGGCTGGTGGGGCATTTGCCCAAATAGAGTTGCCTCCACTGGATTCAATCATGCAGGTATTCTGGGGGCAGTTCTAGACTTAAGGGGCAGCAAGGGAGAAAGGGCAACATTTTTAAGAGAACAGCTGACCTGGGGCCAGACACACTTTGCCAGCATGAACAAGGGTTTTAGGGAGATGATAAACTGAAGGGGCACCCAATGTCTCGAGCACCTTTGGAAGATACATGATTGATTGATTGATGCAATAATTTAAATAATAAAATAATAAAATTTAAATAATAAAATAGTGTCATTTGTGCAATACTCTTTCATATTTGGAGAGGTGAGGAGAAATGGACATATTCAGGAATGAAAAAAATTTGGGTTATGGAGAGGGGAGAAAGAAGCCATGTTCTTCCAACATCAAATTCTTCTTCTTCTTCTTCTTCTTCTTCTTCTTCTTCTTCTTCTTCTTCGGCAATCACTTGTAGCTGAGTAAGATTGTCTTCCATGAACACTGCCTTAACAGTGAGTACTTAAGTAACTGGGGAGGCCAATTCTGGATCCACACGTCCTTCCACATTGGGGACGTAAGTTTCCTGGTGGGAACTGATCACAGCGAGGGTTTGCCAAACGTGCCTTCCTCTTAGCACGTTTCTCCCTTTCATCCTGAGTTCGAGCATTTTCAGAGTGATATGTAGAATTTTTCAGGAACACCGTTGATAGAATCTTTCAAGGAGTTGGAGATGGTGTTTATATGTGGTCCATGTTTCACAAGCATACAGTAAGGTGGGTAGTACAATAGCTTTGCAAACAAGCATTTGGGTTTCCCTGAGAATGTCCCAGTCCTCAAACACTCTGTGGGCACTTGCCATATGGATTTGATATTAGAAGGAGTAATAACCACCTTGCCATGCTAGAAATGAGCAGGTCACGCTGTTCTATGCTCTTCTGCAACCAGCACCATGGAGGCTTCCATTGGTTTTACATCTCTGGGACCAGCTGGTGGTTTTTACTCTGCAAAGACTCGTTCAACTGAAGCCTTGGCTGTTTACTTCTTTGAACCTACACGGACAGGGCAAGCCAAACATTCCAGATAAGCAAAGACTGACTTGCGTTTATCTGCCCTGTGTTGCAATATCTGTAGCAGTGCTGCATGGACATCTCTGTAGGAGATGTGAGATGCTAAGCCCTTTTCTTTGTTTCCTTTTCTCGGTACCCACAGCAGCATTTGGAGCTTCATAAGGCAATACCTGGGCAGCAAGTTATATAAATATAAATATAAATGTAAATGTAAATGTAAATGTAAATGTAAATGTAAATGTAAATATTATAAAAGCATGTGGTTTGCTGGTCGAATCTGTTGAATGTTCATCCAGTCCCTTCTTGCTGCTTTTTGACCAGCTCTGTAGGGCAGCAGCTGCGTTTAGTGTGATGATGGAGGAAAGCAGGTGTCAAGGTGTTCCTCTAGATCAGCAGTTCTTAACCTGTGGGTCCCCAGATATTTGTTGGACTACAACACCCATCATCCCTGAGCTCTGGCCTTGCTAGCTAGGTATGATGGGAGTTGTAGTCCAACAACATCTGGGGACCCACAGGTTGAGAACTGCTGATCTAGATGACCTGTTCGTTGACCTTTCATCTTGATTTGTTTCTATGGAGATTAGAGCAATGCTTCTCAAGCTGATGTGGTAGACTGGGAATCCCACCACCACCTCATGGGCCAAGGACCAGTAGCATTTTTGGTCCCTGAACTATCCCACCCAACCTGGGCTTTGGGAACCGGCAGCTGATGGCTCGTGGCCTGGCTTGTCCACTTTGAATAGCACTAGATTAGGGAACACTGTCTATTTAATATGCATACATTCTGATTTGCTTGCGGGGAGGTTAGACGGTGTTGTGCCAAAGCAAGATTTACCCCACACTTCTCAGTGCATTTCCCTGTCACTTTCCTAAGCACAAAAAAGTCTGTTCTTTTGGGGAAGCAGGATATCTGCATGAAACTTCTTAACCAACTATAACCATGCAGCTTGAATTTGCTGCTGTGCAACTAAATCCCATCCCGAAAAGAGTGGCTTTCTGGTGAAGAGAAAAGGGCTCAGCTGGTATATCAGGATATATTTGAGCTCTCATAGGATCACCTCTGAACCCCACCCTTTGTTACATCCAGTGTTAATTCTTCCAGGTGCAGATACAGTGTTTTCTAGTGTAGGTCAATTTAGGTGCAAGATCTAGGAATGAGTGGGCCCCATTCTGCTTTCTTTGGGTTCTGTGGCTTTGCTTTGCTCTGCGTCCTCTTTCTTCCTGCTGCCGTTTGATCTCCAGTTCCTGGAGGAGAGCAGGAGTGGGCAACAGGGATGTCCCCACTTTCCCTTCACTGTGTGAGGGCAGGATCTCTTGAACTGGGAGAATTTCCGAAATTAATTCCAGAACGGAAGCCTGCGTGCACAGACTGCGGATGCTTCCACGTGGCAGTTGTATTTGCAGACTCGGTGCTGCTCACGTTCGCCCGGGTGCAGGGCCATATTCCCTTGCCATATTATCCAGATCTGCCGCTCACATGGAAAAATCCACTAAGTGTAAAGAAACAAAATGTGGAAATTAAATCCAGATTAACCAGGGAGAAAATTATGGGTTAGCATATTGATGAGGATGGCACTGTGAAAAAAACTTGCATGCCTGAGTATCACCAAGTCACAATAATCAGCCATATGGACGCAGAGTGCCACAGTTTTCACTTCATCGGTATTTTCCTTCCTTCCTTTGTATTGGGAACTGGTGTAGCATAGTGGCTAAGAGGCTGAGCTATGAATGAGGAAGGCTCTGGTTCAAATCTTACCTTTTGTACCACAGATGCACTAAGGCAAGATAGTCAAGTCACTCTTTCTTGACCTTGGTCACCCATTTGTAATATGGGGGTTGTTAAAGGATTGCCCTTGGCAATGCTCACCAAGTGCTTTGAAGATTGAAAGCAGTGTTAAATATTCTGTTTAAGTACAGTGGTACCTCGGGTTAAGTACTTAATTTGTTCCGTAGTTCCGTTCTTAACCTGAAACTGTTCTTAACCTGAAGCACCACTTTAACTAATGGGGCCTCCTGCTTCTGCTGCGCCGCCGGAGCACGATTTCTGTTCTCATCCTGAAGCAAAGTTCTTAATCCGAGGTAATATTTCTGGGTTAGCGGAGTCTGTAACCTGAAGCATATGTAACCTGAAGCGTATGTAACCCGAGGTACCACTGTACTACATTGCCACTCTTCGTGGGTGCATGGATTAGGGATGTGCAAGTATGTCAATGTTGGTTTATCTTGGTTTCTCATTTTTGCAACCTTAAACTTAAGTTCTCCAGATTTCCACATCAGCTTTGTGAATTTTCTAAAAATAAAAGTTCTCAAGAAAATCTATTCACATTTTAGCACACATTTCTCCCAATATACACATATCTCTATGCAATTTTGCCTAACCTACATATTTCCACAAAGCTATTTTCCCTAACGTAATGCATTTTTTGTATGCTATTTTTATTTGTGGACACATTTTAATGCACACTTTACCCCAGGACGTGCATTTTTGGCTGGAGAAAACTGGATTGCAAAATTTGGAACTTTGCTGATTTTAAAGAATTTGTGAGTTTCAGTTCATTGAATCTTTCTGGAAGGTGCAGAGTAGGTAATTCACCCTTAAATGTGCATTGAATTGAATTTCTCCCTCCATCCGTTGCTTGGATAAAACACCGAAGGAAAGAGAGAATGAAAACAATGGTACAATTCTTTTGTGACTTCATTGGACCCTTTTTGATTTTACCTCCCCCTCCACCTTTTAGTGTTTACCCAACTATTTTGTTTTTTGCACGCCTGAAAAACAAGTATGCTGATGCCTCCCTCTTGTTTGTGGAGCTGTTTTTCAAACTGCATAAGCAACAGCACACAGAGCCTGGATGCTGGACCTGGGGAAAAATTTGGATGCAGAGATTTTCAGAAACATGACTAGCAAAAAATAAAATAAAAATCTTTTGCTGGGTAGCAGAAAATACGTTGCTGTTAAATCTATTTGTCCTCTCCCTCCTGTTTTCCCCTTTTGCCAGTTGGCTCCCACTGGCTTGCATGCAGTTGTGGGTGCCATTTGTAGCAACCCAGTTCTGTTGGGATAACCAGAAATGTACACACTCCTGATTCAGTTTAAATAAATGCAGGTGAAAAGGGGTGTTGTATATGAAGCATCCAGCAGTTGATGCTCGAATGCAGTCACTTTGCCAAATCTCTCTCTCTCTCTCTCTCTCTCTCTCTCTCTCTCTCTCTGTGTGTGTGTGTGCAGAATGTCTTTCTAATAATAAGGGAGTGCTGGAAAAAGCGGATGCCACAATCAGCCTAAAGAGCACATGGGAAAATATGATTGCATGTAATTTTGTGGTGATGAAAATAAGAGTGGGGATTTGGCTGAGGGTGCCCTTGAAAATATGGCTTATCCTCCATTTTGAGGCAGAAGGTTTGTCCATCTTTATGGTGCATTTTGGTTGGAACTCCTGCAAGGTGGGCCTACAGTGGGGTTTCTGCAGCACTGCTGCCTTCCTGTAGCACTTGGGAGTAAGGATGTGAGAAGGCACAGTTTCCCCTTTCATCCTGTATTTTTCACTGCAGCACTGTTTCTGTTTTGGTGCAGTTCACCTGTCAAAAACTACATTATACATCTTGCCATCAGCTGTGAAGATATGACGTAACTTGCGTAGTGAATTACGTAAATTACTTTATTTCGTTCCATTCATTTCACTGGAAAGGAGATACCGTACATTCTTGGTGTCTGATCTTCCCAGTCATTTTCGCCGTTTCGGCATAGTCAAAAGATTTAAAAAAGAATGGACTAATTTTGCAGAATATCTGAAGGAGTGTTGTAAACATTTGAAAACATTAGCAGGCCTACAACAGCACTGGTGATATAATTAGGGTAAAATTTGTAATAAGGGAGATGAATAAATTAGATAAAGATACGAAGACACAGAAAAGATAAGAGGTAATGATGGGAAACTGGGGAGGAGGGTGGGGGGAAGTCCAGGGGTTGAGAACCTCCAAAAGATAATGTTTTGTTGTGTTGATATGAATCTAAAATGTAAGCAAAAAAAAAATCTTTAAAATATTTTTGAAAAAGGAGACACCATGCAAATGGGAGAAGAATGTGATTGATCATGTATCATTTGAAGACTGACAGTAACAACAACAGTGACTATTGATAGTGTTCACTGGATTGATTTCTGTTTCGGATATGGGGCAAATATCAGCAATTTCCTCTCCTGTTTTTGTTGGAATTCTCTGACATCTCTACTTGGCTGTCTGCCCGTCCCCTACTCCATACAGTCCAAACATTTCAAGATTCAAAATAACCATTGACACCTCCAGTTTTTCAGGGGCATCCTGGTAGGATTCAGTTCCCAAGCCATGAGCCGGTGTCAAAGCAAGCCCATATATGTGGGAACTTAATTTGACCCTGGGCTCTGTTCCCTGGATGTTTTCTGTCTTGGTTCTGAAGCTTGGGCTTGGCCTGTTCATGCTCTCTTTCCTTTTTCTCTTTCCTTTCTGGGAACACTTGGCTGGCAACCCTGGGAAGACAGAACTTTGCTTGAATCCAGTAGGACTGCTCATACATTCTTAATAACCACTCCTATTATATAGATATATCCTCAGAAGGCAGCATGTCTTCTTAAATGTTCACATTTCTGTGATGGCCAGCAATTAGTATAGCGAGGCGAGTGCAGAGACTAGAGCCACTAGGAGCTAGGTCTGAGTGAAAAACCCACTGCTTCTGTTAGCAGAGTGTTGCTCAGAAGAAGTATGTGCGGCTTTAGGTCAGAGGGTGGTGGGGAGAGGAAGGGAATTTTTTTCTTCTAGCCTGAGGGCCATCATCTCTCATGGGCGACCTGCTAGTGTGCTCTGGCAAGAGTGGATGTGTCCAGACATACACTACTCTCCAGCCTCCACCCAGGCAAGGTTATGGTATTATTACAGTCCAAAGACGCATTGCAGCAAGGCAGAGTCACTAGATATGGACACAGAACAGGGCTAGTGAGAAGTGTGGCCTGGGGGGGTGGCATAGTCTAGGCAAGGGCTAGATAGAGAGGCCTGGAGGGCTGCATTCAGCCACTAGGCTGAGGTCCCCACCCCTATTTTAGGCTTTCCTTCACAATAATGGGCAATAACTGTCCCACTTATGTTAAGAATTGGAGCAAACTCCAGTATAGGGCAGAGGTGGGCAACTTCCTGGTCAAGTGCTGGGGGTTGGTGTGGCCAATATGGCCCACAAGGCCCAATTTCTCCAAATCACGCCCACCAGCTGATGTCCTTGCTGACGAGCGCCGAGTTATAACCTTTCGGACCAAAGATTTGGGGCATTCTAGGCTGTAAACTCCTGCCAACCTAGCAGTTCAAAAGCACGTCAAGGTGCAAGTAGATAAATAGGTACCACTCCAGTGGGAAGGTAAACGGTGTTTCCGTGCGCTGCTCTGGTTCGCCAGAAGTGGCTTAGTCATGCTGGCCACATGACCCGGAAGCTGTACGCCGGCTCCCTCGGCCAGTAAAGCGAGATGAGCGCTGCAACCCCAGAGTCGTGCGCAACCGGACCTAATGGTCAGGGGTCCCTTTACCTTTAGGCTGCAAACAGAAGCTGGGTTTGGCTTCTGTGATTCTGGGATGTCCCACTTAAAACAGGGCAGTTGCAGGGTACGTAGGCTGCTTTTTCTCACATGCTGCCTAAACCACGGGGGAGGAGGGTAGGGACATGTTGCTGGACTCCCAGCTCCCATCATTCCTGACTGTTTCTGGCTGGGGCTAATGTGAGTTGGAATCTAGCAGCACCCCAAGAGCCCAGAGGTCCCCCCCCATCCCTGGTTCAAGCAAAAACAACAACAACCAAACTTGTTTCCATGTGCACCTATTTGGCGCCTGCAATCTGAGGACTGAGTTGTATGTGTCTGGGATTCTCTATCTCCGCCAGCAGCATCCAGCAATTCAATTCTGTGCTTTACTGTCTCAGGCTTCAAGCACAGAGGCAATAAGAAGCTGCGGCGGAGAGAGAGGCTTTGTGTTGCTGTCATTTGGGCTTTTCATTTTCTTTCTCGGAAACACGCTCAATTTATTCTGCGCTGGAAAGAAAGCATGACATAACTGAGCATTATTTTAATAACCGTAGAGTGTGACCTTTTGATATAAGGTTTCCCCCCCCTTAGCTCCTTCTCCAGGTTGTCCTAGGATGGCTGCCCCCAACGCCTCTCCCTCATTATGCTACTTCCCAGGCAGGACCTCCATATGCATGGGGCTGGCTGGGAAATGTACACCCCATAAAATTGTAGAGTTGGAAGGGACCATGAGGCTCATCCAGTCCAACCCCCTGCAATGCAGTAATCATTTGCTGGACATGGGGCTTGAACCCACAACCCTGAGATTAAGAGTTTCATGCTCTTCTGACTGTCCTAGCACAGAATTCAAGGAAATTTCACTACTTTATTTTAGAATAAAGCAAGAGGGAGCTATCTCTCCCCCTTTCGCTGCCTCAAATTACATAATACACAATGAGGCTAAATATAATCTGCAGATTCCATCGCTTCTGAACACACACACACACTCACAAACATTCACACAACTCCAGGCACAGCTTTTTATCCCCCTGTACATTATGCTTTGTGTTTTTTTCACTCGTACGGTATCTTTGCAGTTACCCACAGAGGCAGCTTGCAATCCCCTGGAGAACAAGGGGAGCCAAGGGGATTCTTATATGCCTTTGCCGTTGCACAGAGGAAGCCAGCTTATCTTTTTTTGGGAAAAATACACACACAAGCAAATTTCGAACCTGCGTTTTGCATTCCTAATGTGAGCAGCCTGAATCAGACTGAAAGCAATCAGTCCTGTCCTAATTCTCTGGCACATGCATTTGCAGCTGCCCCACCCCTATAAAAATTGGTTCACAATGGGGAAGAGGGGGGCAGGAAGCCAGGCAGCTGTTTTTGATGCCTGATAGGGGTTACCTCTATAATAAGAAGAGGTCATCGCTTGCAGAAGCTTCATCTTTAGGGGAGAGAATAATCCTCTTTTTCATCTTTCCTCCCTTTTCCTAGTTATGTCAGAGTTACACTCTGGCTCCTTTTTAATCACAGACAAGCCAGTGCTGCTGCTGAATGGCTGGCTATTACAAAGTGGGAGCCTGTGGTGATCATTAGCCAGCTTTGCGTGCGTTTGTGGCTTTGCACACCTCTCATTCTGAAATTTCATTGCTGGCTTTTTCAGACCCCTTTTTTATTTTTACCATGGCCTGCTGGTGGTGTTTAAAGTCTCTGTACCACCATCCTGCTAAAATGCAGGATAAGGCTTGAACATAGGTGTGGGGGAGAAATCTGATTCAGTTTGCATTTAAAGGAGAATTTTGCACTTTCCGAAACAATACAGAAAGTGATAGCTCAGTTGGTTAGAGCATGGTGCTGACAACACCAAGGTCGCAGGTTCGATCCCTGTATGGGACAGCTGCATATTCCTGCATGCAGGGGGTTGGACTAGATGATCCACAGAGTCCCTTCCAACTCTTTGGTTCTGTCTATGTCTATGAAACACAGTCATCCTTCAAAATTTGCACTTCTCTGAATTTTGCAATGCAGTTCTTCAGCCAAGTAACGTGTTCAAAAATGCAAACTGCTGAGTTAAAACGTCTGTGAAAATAGGATGCAGAATCGCAGTGTATTAGGAAACATTGCTTTGCAAATAACGTGTATATTAGGCAAAAGTGAATATCAAAATATGCATATTAGGAGAAAATCATACTGAAATGCTGATGGATTTTCATGAGGACTGAAAAACAACAGCAACAAAGAATTGCAAAGTCATGTGGAAATGTCAAAAATGGAACTTAAGATTGGAAGCATTAGAACCCAACTGTGAGAAGGCAAAATGGACATATTTGCCCATTGTTACTTGAACATCATCGGGAAGAGCAATTGCTGGGGGCAGAGCTGTAGCTCAGTGGTATAGCTCATAATTTGCATGTATAAGATCACGAGTTTAACCCCTGGCATCTCCAGGCAGGGCTGCCAAAGTCCTCAGCCTGAGATGCTGGAGAGCTGTTGTCCATCATTTTGTAGACAATACTGAGCCAGGGGACCACTGTGGGATGAGAAGGCTTCCTATGTTCCTACAAGGCTCTGTATAAGTTGGGATCAACTGGTACCTTTATGGATGGGATAGCCTTTCAGGAGGGGTGGAGGGAAGCACCTGCCAGCACCTGCTCAGATCAAAGTCTAGCTGACTATCAGGAAGAAGAGGGGCCCCTGCCTCCTACATAAGCTCCCAGTCTGAGCCATTTCACTGCAAAATCAACAGCTTCCTTATGGCTCTGAGCTCCTGTGAAAGTGTTTTAGGAGCTCGAGAAATGGATGCAGACACACACTTTATCTGCTGACAGCCCCCCGTTCCCAGTTCTTCTCTTTGTTCCATGCCCAATATTCTGCCCTCGTTTGTACTCTACTCAGTCTCCTCTATGCAGCTCTCCTTCCCCTTTGTGCGACTGTGATATGAAAGAGAAGATCTGGCCTGAAGGCAGCCATTCCTAGAGTACCGTGCTCTGTGGTTGGCTCACAGGTGCACCCCACTGCCTGTGACCTAGCCACAGACCATGTGCACCTACAGCCCTGTAGTGACAAAGCTGTACCCGCCATGTCTGTAGCTCTGCTGTGCTTTCCATCCAGTTTTACTAATAGCAGGTAACCAAGATATTGGGACCAAAGAATTGCACCTATTACTGACTGATAGGGATGGTTGGAGCACAGGTATATCCTTACTGCACTTTTTGGCACTTGGCACCATTACTGCCAGCTTAATTTTTAAAAATGGCTTTGAATGGATTTTAGCTCTTTGTATTCTGTCCTGTTGTTAAGCTGCTTTGTGCCATTTTTCATTGTGTACTGTTGACCAACAAATGCAACGAATAACAATAATTTTGACAGTGAAGGTCTGCCGGTCCTGTGGGTCGCTCTGTAAGGTTTGTATCTAGGCGGCAGCATGCCTGATTTTTCAAAACTTCTTTTAGGAGAGCCCTGGATTTATTAGCTTCTTTCTCCTTGTGGGAAATGGGCCCATATGCTTTACAACTATATATATATATATATGTGTGTGTGTGCACTAAATTATATGTAATAAACCTAAGTCTACAGGAAATGGTAGCAAAACACTTAAACTGGTGTCGGGGTTACCAAGCAGAAAATACCAAAGTCAAGTGGTAATGAAGAGGCACAGAATGAGAGAGATTTGCATTTTGGAAGATTAGCAGGGGATAGATGTGTGGAGAGGGATGCTAAAATGATTAGCTAGGATGAATTGGAGTCTGCTTGAATCTAATCCTTTGGAGCAAGCTGTACGCTGCAGAAAATTTCTCTTTTTGGGCCAGTGATCCGTTGAATTCTTCAATTTGTTTTTCTTCCCTAATCTGCATGAACTCCCGAGCCTTTCCATCTCCTATTTTGGAGGCCATTAGGTGGTGATGAAAGCTTTGACTGGGGTCCAGCAGGAACTGAGCCAAGCTCTCTACTATCTGAAACATTAAGTTAAGGTTCCAGCAGAAACTCGCAGAGAAGGGTCCCTGGGATTGCCCTGGAAAACAACAACAAACCTGGCTGCCATGGCTCAGGCTGGTAAGCAGGTGCCTCTGCATGATCTAGGCCAGGAACAGATGTGGCTTTTGGGCTCCCTCCACTTTGCAAGGAGTTTGGTTTGGCATCTCCCAGGACCTGTGGGCAGCTGCCCTGTGTGATGAGTCGCTGGGCTGAAGATGGAAGCTTTGTAGTGAAGCTCTCTCATGTTCTGACCAGTCTCAGGAGAAAGTGCAAATTTCTCCTTTAACTACAAACTGGATCAATTTTCTCACCCGTCCCTTCTGCTAACGCTCACCTAGGGTGTACATACTCCATTCACACTTCTTAACCTATAAGCATTATATTTTAATCCTTGCAACCGCCATGGAAAGTTGGACAGCATTATTGCCCCCATATTACAGATGGCTATGGAGAGCCACCAAGGCCAAGAGAGAATGGATTGTCTGAGCAGGGACAGCCCAGCCGCTAGGCAGAACGAGGCAGCTGCCTCTTGCGATGGGTGCTGGAAGGCTGAGGGAGCGGCGGTGCAGCCCCTGCCATCCCTCTGCCATCCCCGTTAACCTGGCCAGAGGCAGCAGAGTTTGATCCTTGCTCGCCTGGCTTGGCTGGCTGCGTTTGCCTAATTGCCTTCTCCCAACATGTCGCCGACAGTACCGAGGGGGAAGGCCCTTGGGTGAGCGAGCAGGCAGAGAGACAAGCGACCCAGCAGGCATTATGTGTGCTTATGCGTTGCTCTGCTCACATGACACATGAGCTGCCACTGCTGCATTGCAGCATTTGCTTGAGAGGTCAGCGATCAGGCGCCAGGCAGAGAAGTGAGTAAGCAAGAAGGTGTTCAGGGGACGTAGCTGTGTGTTCCACATGACTTACCCTGTGTCCCAAAATTTAGTCACCTGTCCCCAGGTACTGTAGAGGATGCTGTCTGATCACTTGGTGTTAAAGGAAGAGTCAACTGCTATGCCCGGTCATTTTCTAACCATGGAACAGGGGATCTCTCTTTCCCTTTCCCTTGTGTAATTATGGGTGAACCTGGCAAAGTTCTCAGCTTCACATTTTTTCAAAGTTCAGTTTTCCACAGCTACACATCAGTTTGTGTGTTTTTTAATACTGCAAATTCTTTTCTTTTTTTATAGTCCTCATGAAAATTTGCCAGCATTTTCACACAAATTCCTCCTAATATATGCGTTCATATCCAGTACGCAGAGTTTTACAAGCAATATAATGCAACTTTTGTATGTTATTTTTATCACCAACCCATGTGTTTTTTTATGCACACTTTAACAAAGTATATGTTTGGGCTTTTTTTGTACATGTTGCTTGGTTTGAGAGAACAGCATTGCAAACTTCGGAGAAGTACGACTTTCGAAGGAAGGCTGTGTTTCGGTTCTCATACTGTTTCAGAAAGTGGGTAGATTCTCTTTTAAATGTGAACTGGACGGCGTTTCTTCTCCACCCCTATTGTGTGCCAGATCCTTCTCCTCAGGCAGCAAGTTGTTTGTGGCTGGCCCTTCACCTGAGGTCACACAGCAGAGGCTAGATTCAAACTGGGGACCTGCAGGTTCATTGCTCAATCTCTTCACCGCTGCAAGCCACCAACCTTCGATTCTGGAGGCAAACTCTGACAAAAGCTTCCATATACTTACTGCTCGTTTGGCTGTGGATGCAAAGACATGCCCAAATTGGAAAGCCAGCGATAATGAAGATGAAAATCTATGCAGTGTTTACAATCCCTGAACCGTGTTATGTGTCTTCAGCAGTGACTTCTCTTAAGGAGGGTCATTCATCTTTAATAAGAATTGCAATCTGTTCATCTGTTCATGCAGTATCTCTTTTAGTGTCATGCTGCAA